CCCACAAATGAAGTAGTTTAATTCATAAAGTAAACAACTCCAAAGGTAAAATTTTAACATCAATCTAATTCTACCTTTACTTAATTTGTGTAAGTAAAAGTCTTATAATTATTTCCTAAATGATGTGTGAGTTTAAAATATGATGCACAAAATACATTTAAAGCATTTGTTAAACTATTAATACAATGTAAACAGCCAACTAGACTGTTTCCATGACCAATTCATATCTATCTATGTATCTAAAGACACTTTAAGATATACAATGCTAAGAAATAAAGTTTACATTTTGAGTAGTTTTATGAAAAAATTATTACAACTTAATATAACTATACTTGAAAAAACAGTATCTATAACTTGAAAAAAGGTGCTAACAGTAATGAAAAGAAATTCTCAGCAGGCTTCCCACAGCTTTAGTACACAATTAGTAGTACATGTAACAATGACATTAGAATGCATACCCAATAGCTTTTTGGGGAAGTCTGTAAGCAACTGCACTATCAATTTATTAAGCCAATGGAACTAACCTTTTCTTCTATTTCTGAAGCTACTAACATTACTCTTTGCACCAAGAAAAGAGACCCAAATCTATCCAATACCAGGGGGAAAAAAAAGTGAAATAATGAAAAAAAAAATTCTTTAAATGCTTGAAACCTAAAATATCAATCACATATAAAATAAAAGAAGTTTATTTGGTGGTAGAATTCACAGAAGTAAATCTTAGAGCCCATCCAAAAACAAGATCAAACCTGTCTGCCACTGAATGGATTCCAACTCACAGCAACCCTATAGGACAGAGTAGAATTGCCCCATAGGGTTTCCAAGGAGCAGCCGGTGGATTTGCACTGCCAACCTTTTGGTTAGCAGCCGTAACTTAATCACTGACCCACCAGGGCTCCTAAGATGGGCTCTAGAGCCCATCTAGTTGGGTTAAATTAGAGCCAGACCAAAAAGGATCACCTGTTTGGCAGCTGTACAGAATGGACTCACTACAGTCAAATGCCAGTCTCCCTTACATATGATTTTATTTCACATTTTAACCTATTCCTGTCAATATGAGATTGGTGGTATTTTCCTACTTTCATTCATCTTTTGTCCCTGCTTAACTTCTTGCAAAGTTTCCATCAAGAACACAAACTAATTATTTAGCCTATCTCAACGCTAGAAGTGAATTAATAGTAGGGTCAAAAATAGAACATCTCATTCCTGTCCCTTGCTCTGTATCTCTCGCTCTCTAAACATCTGAATTAACTGATTCTTATAAGGAAGATAAAAGTTACGTTGTTGTTGTGTGTCATCGAGTTGATTCCGACTCACAGCAGCCCTAGAGGACAGAGCAGAACAGCCCCACAGGGTTTCCAAGGAGCGGCTGGTAGATTCAAACTGTCAACCTTTTGGTTAGCAGCCTGAGCTCTTAACCACTTCGCCACCAGGACTCCATTCTAAGTTATAAGACAGATGAATTCTGCTCTGGAGGGGTGGAAAAGAAGGGTTGGTGAATCATTTCTTACCTCTTTAGATTTGGAACTTCTACCAGTGGTGCTTTTAGAATTCTTAGTGTTTTGCCCAACCAAAGTCTGAAAATTAAATAAGAAATGCAGAAAAACAGAAATTATATCCTGGTTATTTATGTTCTTCTTAAAAAAAAAAAAAATCTCAAAGAGCAAACATTATCCAATCACATTCAATTAAGCAAACACGGCATTTAACAAGTATACAGAGCTAAGTCGACAATCATTGAATGGTACAGGCATAGTCTCTAAAAGTTGTAGTTAAATTCAGTTTTGCTCATCTTTTTTTTCCCTATAGACACAATGCCTGAGTTGGGTAATCAGTGAGTGACCTGATAAAGGAAGATTCAGTTTAAATAAGAAAACTGTTTCCCATTCAGAAGCAGAGTACTAAATCACCTTAGGAGATTCACTGCAGACATTTTAACCACAAAGTTGTATTTCTGACCAATTTTGTCCAAACAATGCTTTTGAAACCTGTTAATAAATTATGAACTTCAGTCTACCATTCTAAATGTCTACTGGCTTAAATCACTGGATCATTTAAGAAAGGGAATAGGAGCTGGGGGGTGGAATGAGGAGATGAACTATGAAACAAGATTACATCTCCTACTCCATAGTTAGAGCAGCTGAGCTAATCACTTCAAAGATATACTGAGCCAGTCTTCCTACCCTCCTCACCTTAGTGTTGGTGTCATCCCGTTTCATGATGGAAGATCTAGTCTCTGTTTCCTGAGACTGTTTTGTTATATCCCTGTAATCCAGTTTAGAATCCTTGCCTTGCGGGGCTGAGATTCTTCCACTTCCACCTCTGGTAACACCGCTCTGAGTGAGTTTCAATTTACTGCTGCCTTCTCCCAAGCCTGACCCAGCACTTGTAGGTTTAAGTAGACCCAGTTCCTTGGCTGAAAGTTTCTTTTCAGCATTGATTTGATCTCTGAGCACAGATTTTAGAAAACTTTTCTGATTTTCAGTTTTTGAAGCTGTAGTTTTCGCCTTTGGAGAAGAGACTATGGCAGCCTTGATGGCTGATTTACTGCTAGATACATGTGATGTAGTTGGCATACTAGTTTTACTAGTTTCATCAAGTTTATTGGCCTGACCCACTCCTTTATTTGGGTATGCCTTGCTCACAGTGTTCTCTGCAGGCTTTTCTTTCATTACTGCCACAATCTTTTCCAATTTCTCTGCCACCATCCCAGCTTTATTCTTTTCAGTCTTCTCTGTTCCTATTTGCAGATCCACTGTAGTTTCCTTAGTATTAAATTCATTCTCCTCCTTTTCATCCATCTTACTTTTTTCAGAAATTCCCTTTTTGCTCATTGCATTCTCATCCCCGATGGAAATTTCTGGTACTAAGGAAACAACACAGGCAGGTGGCACTACTTCTGAAACAGTTTCATGTTTATTCACTTCAGCTACAGCTTCTACCACAGGTTGTGTAATTCCAGAAAAGAAGTCTTCTGCTTCAGATGGAGATTCTTCTAGAATTCCTTTGATGTTCCTCTCTTCTATAAATGCACTATCAGATACTGATAATTCTGTTTCAGGGTTAACAATTTCTGCCTCTTCCTTTTCAAAGTCAGCGGTATATACCTGCTGATTTAAAGCAGATTCCTCTACATTTTCAGGGAATAATTCAATACTGCCTGGAGTGGATACTACCAGAGGAATTTCCACTTTGATTTCCTCTCCTTGAGACTCAACTTCCAATGTTTCAAGAGCAAAGTCAGGTTCACATAGTGGCTTTTCAAGTTGTTCCTCACAAGGCTCTTCCTGCTGTACAGAAGGTTCTGTATGAATGCTGGCAGTAGTTTCTTCTTCAACCTCACTAGGTTTAACAGAGGGACTATCGGCTGCTGTTTGCACCTCACTCTCATCAACTGGACTGTCTTTCAAGTCGGGGCTAAAAGTATTTAAAAACAAACAAAAAAACAAAAACAAAACACAAACAAAAATCAAACTATGATGAGAATTCAACCATTATAAATAACCCTGTTGATGCCAATTGTTAAGACTTCCTGATGCATTAGTAATAAGCATTGGGAAATCCAGCCAATCAGCAATAAAATGGTTAAGATGTTTTGACATAAATATGTAAATATAAAATTTTAAAAGAGATTCTCCACTGCACTCCAGGTTTCTTTTTAGTTCAAAGGAAATAATGGCAAAAAGTATTCCTATCGATATGATCATATGTCTTAAGACCAATCTTTTTCCTCCTGGATCAAGTCTGCACCCAACATCAGAAGGTGGACTGTGAATCTGAGACACCGTAAATTGTTAGGTCCCATGTCTCTGCAAGCGTGGTTAACTGAAATAATAAAATATGTGTACAGTTCTACAATGAAACTAGTTATCCATACATTAAAATTTTCAATTCTGTAAGTGAACCTTATCTGCACAGAATATACAAAAACCAGTAGGTAAAAGGTTACACTCTAAATAAATCACATTGCCTCTTGTTTTTGGATGTGATACAGTTTGTTTTTAATTTTCCAAGAACTGTATGTATTAATGATAATACTTAAAAGAAAGCTTTCTTTGGAAGTATCCTTTACATACTCTGTTGGAGATTTAAAGGAGAAAGTTAACATGAGCATACAGCCCTTTAAGAAAATCTAAGTGCCTTTGGCTACATTACCAGAAGGTATATGTTAAAAGAAAGTCTTCCAGTTACAGAGAATAATTTAAAATTCCGAAACATCTAACTCAAACATTTAAGTAAAATTATTCAAAAGAAATGGAGAAAATACATGGCAAATAACATGCAATTGATCTTATCACGTCATGGTCTTCCAAATCCAAAGTAAACAAACTATGATTCCGTAATTCCACTACTTCACTGAGACACACAGAATAAATTATTTTTTACATTAATGCTCTGAAGATCAGAAGTTATCTTAAAGAATTACAAGGAAAATCTTAGCTTCTGAAAACAATGTCCAGCATGTTATTAACACCAGTAAGAGGGTATCAAATGCATTTACATAGTTACATTAGAAGCAGCAGGTTGGGGGAAGACACCTGAAAGTAATCATGTGACATCACTACCTCACAGTAGAGTATTGACTTTTTCCCCCTATTTTCAAGAAAGAAGGAATGTGACATTGACAGTAACTAATGCTTTTCAAAGGAGGCCATATAATCTTCAGTTAACAATGCCATATGATGTGTATCTGTGTCCTGAGATGTTTTAATTATATTTCAGAAGCTCAGAAAAACTGTAAGTGCCTACCATCACCATGGCCTAATCATTTGAGCCAACAAAAACCGGTTCTCTCCCACAAAGATGGGGAAGTTTAAGTTTTCAAAAGGAGCAAAATTTTTAAGAGATCAGAGAAACCCCTCTTTATGAAAAGTTGTAAAGACAAAGAGCTTAAGGAATCAATTTTAAGTTGAATATTCAGTAAGCAGAGCCCTTAATCAATATGCATTTTATTCATTTGTGCAAGCTAACCTTTGTATGTTGAAAACGTTTCAAGATTTTTATTTGACAAAATTCACATTTCTTATATTCAGACACCACTGGCTGATTTTAAGTGTTCCAATTTCTTAGGATTTGTCAAAATAAAATTTGTGGCCAAGCATACATTTAACAAAGATAAGAAAAAGTTGTGACGTTAATAGTTATAGCAGTTACATGAATACTATTTCTCAAAATATATGCCATTGTTTTTAAATTACAAGATTCATCTTCAATACTGAAGATTAAATTCAAATTCCCTGATCATTTACTGAACTATGTATGAGCACTAAAGGCTTTACAAACAAGGGATCTATAGTAGAATAACAATGGAGGTTTTGATTCCAGACTCAAGGCAGTTCTTCCCTTTTTACCATATTTAAAGTTTGTACACCCCCCCAAAAAAAACAAAACAAAATCCAACACACCATTTATCACCTTCAATATAAAATGAATCACTATGAAGCTCTACACTTCAGAAAACACAGACCTACTTGGAAAACAGTTTTAATTTCATGTTTGTTTTTATGTGTTGGTCTTCAAAAATTATAATGCTTTCTTCATAGAAATCATTCACCCAAAATTAGTATCTTGTTTTTCTGGCTAATATGAGAAAAAGCCTCAGTGTTGACAAAAAAGAAGAAAGGGCCAAAATCAACAGCATATCCCTATAACTCGAACAAACAGAAAAGGAGCAGCAAAAGAAGCCCACAGTAACCAGAAGGAAATAATAAAAAAGATCAGAGCAGAAATAAATGAGATAGAAAACAGAAAAACAACAGAATCAATAAGACTACAAGTTGGTTCTTTGAGAGGATCAATAAAATTGACAAACCACTGACCAAACTGACAAAGGAAAAAAGGGAGAAGATACAAATAACCGAAGTAAGAAACGAGATGGGTGACATTACAACAGAACCAGCTGAGATAAAAAGGATCGTAACAGAATACCATGAAAAATTATATTGCAACAAATTTGAAAACCTAGAAGGAATGGAAAAATTTCAAGAAACACACAATATACCGAAACTAACAGATAGAAGTAGAAAATTTGAACAGACCCATAACAAAAGAAGTAACTGAAGATGTTCTTTAAACAAACAAACAAACAAACAAGAAACTCTCAACAAAAAAAAAAGCTCCAGTCCAGACGGCTTCACAGTGAATTCTAGCAAATACTCAGAGAAGAGCTGACACCAATTCTACTCAAACTATTCCAGAACATAAAAAAGGAAGGAATACTCCCTAATTCATTCTATGAAGCCAGCATAACCTGATACCAAAGACAGGTTAAGATACCACTAAAAAAAAATTATAGACCAGTATCTCTCATGAATATAGACTCAAAAATTCTCAACAAAATTCTAGTCAATAGAATTCAACAGCATATAAAAAAAAAAAAATCAATCAAGCAGGACTCATACTAGGGATGCAAGGATGGTTCAACAATGGAAAATCAACATAATTCACCACAAAAATAAAACAAAGATAAAGAATTACATGATCATCTCTATCGACACAGAAAAGGCATTTGATAAAATCCAACACCCTTTCCTGATAAAAACTCTCAGCTACAAAGGAATAGAAGAGAAAATCCTCAACATAACTAAGGCCAAATACGCAAAACCAACAGCCAACATTACTCTCAATGGAGAAAGATTGACAGCATTCCCAGAGGATGCCCTTTTATCACCACTCCTATTCAGTATTGTACTGGAAGTTCTAGCAAGAGCAATTAAGGCAAGAAAAGGAAATAAAGGGTAGCCAAATTGGAAAGGAAGAAGTAAAACTACCCTTATTCACAGATGACATCATTCTATGCATAGAAAATCCCAGAGACTCCACAAAGAAGTTACTGGAACTAGTAGAAGGATTCAGCCAAGTAGCAGGGGACAAAATCAACACAAATATCAGCTGGGTTCCTCTACACTGGAAACCCTGGTGGCGTAGCGGTTAAGAGCTATGGTGCTAACCAAAAGGTCGGCAGTTGAATCCACCAGGCACTCCTTGGAAACCACATAGGGCAGTTCTACTGTGTCCTATAGGGTTGCAATGAGTTGAAATCGACTCGACAGCAACTTTTTTTCTCCCCCTCTACACTAACAAGAAAGGCTCTGAAAAGGAAATAGAGAAATCAATACTATTTACAATAGTCCCCAAAAGGATAAAATACCTAGGAATAAACCTAACCAGGGACGTAAAGACTTATAACAAGGCAAACCCGCTGCCATCAAGTCGATTTCGACTCCTAATCAAATCTATAGGACAGAGTAGAACTGCCCCACAGTGTTACCACCGAGCAGCTGGTAGATTCAAACTGCCGACCTTTTGGTTAGCAGCCATAGCTCTTAACTAACCACTGCACAACCAAGGCTCCAACCAACCTTTTAAACATCAAAGCAAAACACCCATATTCTGGGAACTGGCATAAAAAAGGATTCCAGGAAGGAATTTTGTAAAAGCAGCTTTCACAAAAGAAGGAAATCTGTAGTATTCTATTACTCTTATTCAATTAATATTAAATCTGAAATATCTCAGGATACAGGTATCTAACTCCCCCCTACAATACCAGTTTCACAATCCTCAGAAAAGGCATACAATAAAACTTGGGTATGAGAACAAAGGTTAACACCATACCACACATAGCCTGAGAAACTTCAGATTAAGACTTAACAATACTGAAGATTACTGTTTATTCCAATGGGCCAGTAGGTACACTTTCCAACATTAACGAACTGGTGAAAATTTCTTCTTGCATCCTTATTTGGACCCTTACATACAAGATAAATAAATCCTGTTTACTAGAGAGAGAGAGAGAGAGAGAGTGTGTGTGTGTGTGTGTGTGTGTGTGTGTGTGAGAGAGAGAGAGAGAGAGAGAGAGAGAGAGAGGAGGGGTAGTACAAGCAAAACATGGGTTATTATTCAATTATCAATATACCCACGAGATTGTCTTTAAATAGGAAATCTATTTTAATAGTTTACATTGTAACCAAAAGGATCGTATTCATGACGCAGTAGTACCTGAAAGTACTTCAAACAAACACACGATATTTTCTCAGGATCAGTTTACTCCAAAAGAAAAGTGATACAGTCTGACCATATTCCACATACTTTTCACTAATGCCATATAACTCAGAAAAAAACTGACTGCAAAATAGGAATTAAGAAATTACTAGCACTAGGACATTTTAATTAATTTTATAAGAGTAGACAACTATATGCAAACTCATTAAGAAATATCTTTCATTTTCAGATAAAAATCTAACTAATGAGAGGAAAAAAAAAAATAACTAAAGTACCCATAATAGCTATTCTTGCAGACCTGAAAGAAAATGTATCAAATGAAATCTATACAATGGATTTTTCCAAGAGCCTATTACCAGCTACAGAGTTACTCTGGTCAAACTGTAGGTGTATCTATACTGCTACATGTGACAGTTACTTATTGAGCACTTTGTGGGCTTCTATATCAAACATTGCTAGAGGTATTACTTTTTAAGCATGTGAGTATAATTGTTGTAATGATGTTCAACTTGAAAAAGTATGCTGACATATACAGCAAATTTGTTTTTAAAACTTACCAATATATTTTAATGTCTTCATAGTCATCTTTATCATTTAAAACAGACTTATTTTATAAGACTTAAATTACTGAGAAGAAAAATCCATAAATACTGTTTTACAGGCATCTTAAAATTCAACAGTGCATTAAATAAAACACTTCCCATATTAAACTTTCAAACTGTTGTATCAAACTCGGTAAGCTCTAAGACATGGACTGTAGGAAATATGGGTGAATCACTTTGTATAAAGAAGGGAAAAAAAATATTCTACATCAGAGTCTCACTGAAGAGCAGTGAAAGGGAGGTTTCTGACTGGTGAGAAGTTAGACGTGGCCAAAACAAGGTTCTGAGTCACTAGTTTGTGTGGACTAAAGAACAACCTTTCATCCTCGGAAAATACAAAGCAGTGTACATAATATTTCTTTTTACTATCCCTTTACCTCACCACAGTTGCTTTTAAAAAGTATCAAAATACCATTAAACAGTAAGCTAAAATGCCCTGAAAGCAAACTAACTCCCATTTTTCAAGGTTGAGAGTTGGAAAATGATAACTTAAAGGTTCTCCCTCTCTCCCTGACCCAATTTTAAAGATAAGACCAAGATTTTCTCTAATTCAGTATACTTGGGGCAACTAACCAGATAAAATAACTGAATAAACTTGAATGTTATCTTTTTGTGTTTCAAGTTATTGAAGTTAAAAAGGATTATACAAAAAGATTAAAATTTTACTATTGTGTTTAATTCTGGAATACAAAAATGTAACAAAAAGAATGTAATACTAATCACAAGAGTCTAGTTGTTCAAAAACATCTTAGCAGAACACTTACATGAAGTCGTATTTATATCAACAACACAACAAATTTAAAGTCATATTTATATATTTAATTCAAACTAGTTATACACTCAGTCTTTCTAATAACATGTAAATACCTGAATGAGACCAAAAACAAAAACATCCCCTCCTCTACCAAGTCAAACAAAATTGAAAAATAAAATTGTAACAGGGTCACACATATACAGAGTGAACAAACATGAAAGACAAACTTTTTGCTGCATATTAACAACTACCATAAAATATGAAAATAAAATCTAGTAACCAACATAAAAATGTTAGCAAACTTAAAGTAACATACCTTTCTTTTCCTTGTTCTGAGTCTTTCTCAACTTGAGCCTGTAACATAATTACACATTTTATTAGAGGCTATTCTACCGGATTTTAAATATTTAATCCATCACTGCAATGTTTTCAGCTCAAAGTCTTAGCTACAAAACAAAAATGTATCTTAAAAGTGTATCAAAACATACTTTCCAGGGTCCACACAAGTATCAGTTTCTAGAGTTTATCCCATTAGATGAAGACGACTAATTTATGTTATACAGAGTAACTTGCCATATAGTAATTAATGAGAAAAAAGAAATTTGCTTACTGTTGATATAATAACTTCTTAAAAACCTTTAGAAGTCTAGAAATACTACCTTCTGCTTAGAAAAAATAGGCAATAAACCTGAAATATCAACATCTTCCTTGCAGAACTATTATTTTTTAAAACTTTTGATTATAAAGGGAGACCAATTAACTTAAAACAGCTACCAGCTCTGGACAAAATTTAACACTAATCCTTTTAAATGTGTATCTGAATGCCCAAGAAAACAGTGTCCTGGGGCCCAAAAAGGAAGCAGGAATTAGAAAGGATTGCCTGGGAACCAATCACTGTCCTGGGCACCTGGGATATATGAGTGAACAGAACTGTCACAAATCTCTGCCCTTGGAGAGCTTCTACATATTAGCTGGAGGCTTCTTCTACGGGAACCATGTGCTCTGGGTTGAGAACTGTCTTTCTAGAAAAGTTGTGTCAGAGTAAAAAACTGAGAATTACACGTCAAAAAATTTAAATATGTTAGGTGCCACCGAGTTGATTCCAACTCATAGCGAACCTATGAACAAAAGAATGAAACACTGTGTGGTACTGGCCACCTTCACAATCATTGCTATGTTTGAGCCAATCACTGCAGCCACTGTGTCAATCCATCTCACTGAGGATCCTCCTGTCTTTCACTAACCCTCTACTTTAACAATCATGATGTCCTTTTCCAGGAACTGGTCCCTTCTGATAACATGTCCAAAGTGAGTGAGATGAAGTCTTAACTATCCTTGCTTCTAAGGAGCATTCTGGGTGTACTTCTTCCAAAACAGATTTGTTCGTTCTTCTGGCAGTCCGTGGTATATTCAATATTTGTCAACACCATAATTCAAAGGCATCAATTCCTCTTTGGTCTTCCATATTCATTAACCAGCTTTCGCATGCATGTGAGGCAACTGAAAACACCATGGCTTGCGTCAGGCTCACCTTAGTCCTCAAAATGACAACTTTGCTGTTTAACACTTTAAAAAGGTCTTCTGCAGCAGATCTGTCCAATGCAATATGTCCTTTGATTTCTTGATTGATGCTTCCATGGATGTTGACTGTGGATCCAAGTAAAATGAAATCCTTGAAACTTCAATATTTTCTCCATTTATCAAGATGTTGCTTATTGGTCCAGTTGTGATGATTTTTGTTTTATGTTGAAGTGTAACCCACACTGAAGGGTGCAGTCTTTGATATTCATCAGTAAGTGCTTCAAGCCCTCTTTGCTTTCAGCAAGCAAGGTTGTGTCATCTGCATATCACAGGTTTTTGATGAGCCTTCCTGCAACCCTAAAGCTGAACGCGTCTTCATACAGTCCATTTTCTACGATTATTTGCTCAGCATACAGACTCAGTTAAGTATGGTGAAAGGATAAAACCTTGACACATACCTTTCCTGATTTTAAATCACGCAGTATCCCCATGTTCTCCTCAGACGACTGTTTGTTGTTCTATATACAGGTTCTGCACGACCACAATTAAACGTTCTGGAATTCCATTCTTCACAACGTTATCCGTAATTTGTTAAGATCCATACAATCGAATGCCTTTGCAGAGTAAATAAAACACAGGCAAGCATCTTTCTGGTATTCTCTGATTTCAGCCAAGATCCATCAGGCATCAGCAACGTTATCCCTAATTCCAGCTTGAATTTCTGGCAGTTCCTGTCCATGTAGTGCAGCAACCGCTTTTGTATTATCTTCAGCAAAATTTTACTTGTGTGCGGTATTCATGATACTGTTCAGTAATTTCTGCATTCTGCTAGATCACATTTCTTTGGAATGAGTTCAAATATGGATGGATCTTTTTCAGTCGGTTGGCCAGGTAGCTGTGTTCCAAATTTCTTGGCATAGACAAGTGAGCGACTCCAGTGCTGCATCCATTTGTTGAAACATCTCAATGAGTATTCCATCGATTCCTGGAGCCTTCTTTTTCGCCAATGCCCTCAGTGCAGCTTGGAATTCTTTCTTCAGTACCATCGGTTCTTCGTCATATGCTACCTTCTGAAATGGCTGAATGTCTACCAATTCTTTTTGGTACAGTTACTGTGTATTCATTCCTTCCATCTTCTCTTGATGCATCCTGTGTCGTTCAATATCTTGTCCATAAAATCCTTCAATACTACAACTCAAGACTTGAATTTTTTCTTCAGTTCTTTCAGCTTGAGAAATGCCAAGCGTGTTCTTCCCTTTTGGCTTTCTCACTCCACATCTTTGCACATTTCATTGTAATACTTTACTTTGTCTTCTCAAGTTGCCCTTTGAAATCTTCTGTTCAGCTCTTTTACTGCATAATTTCTTCCATTTGCTTTAGCTGCTCCATGTCCAACAGCAAGTTTCAGTCTCTTCTGATATCTATTTTGTTCTTTTTCCTTTTTAATGACCTTTTGCTTTATGTTTGATGTCATTCCAAAACTCATCTAGTCCTCAGTCATTGATGTTCAATGCATCAAATCTATTCTTGAGATGGTCTCCAAATTCAGGTGGGATATACTCAAGGTCATATTTTGGCTCTCGCAGGCTTGTTTTAATTTTCTTCAGTTTCAACTTGAACTTGCATAGGAGCAAGTGATGGCCTGCTCTGCAGTCAGCCCCCAGGCTTGTTCTGAATGATGTCGCTGAGATTCTCTATCATCTCTTTCCACAGATGTAGTCAATTTGATTCCTGTGTTTTCCATTTGGCAAGGTCCACACATATAGTCACTGTTTATGTTGTTGAAAAAAGGTATTTAGAACGAGTAAGTAGTTGGTCTTGCAAAATTCCATCATGGATCTCCAGCGTCGTTTCTATCACCAAGGCCATATCCTTCAACAATCGATCCTTCCTGTTTCCAACTTTTGCATTCCAATCACCAGTAACTACCAATGCATCTTGATTGCATGTTTGATCATTTTCAGACTACAGAAGTTGGTAAAAATCTTCAATTTCTTCATCTTCGGCACCGGTGGTTGGTGCATAAATTTTAATAATAGTCGTATTAACTGGTCTTCCTTCTAGGCATATGGATATTATCCTATTCATATCCTGTGAATAATATGGAGCCCCAGTGGCACAGTGGTTAAATGTTTCAGCTGATCACCAAAACTTTGGCAGCTAGAATCCACCAGCCACTCCTTGGAAACTCTATGGGGTAGTAGAGGGAATTCCTGGTGTGGGTTATATTTGGTTTTTCTACTAAAATATGAGCTCCTTGAGGGTTGAGACACTGACTCCTGTGTTTATCATTATATCCCCAGTGCCTGAAACAGTACTGGCATGGAAATGGAATTAGATAAATACTTGTTTAATGTGTTAATGAATAAATCCCAAAGCTTTCAGAGAAAAAACAGAATTCTTAAAGATCCGATTGAAATCTGACTTCTCAGCAATACTGGTTGCTAAAAACAGTGAAAGGAAAAATAATCTGAGCTCCAAATTTTATACCTAGATAAACTATCAATGGTATTGAGTAAAATAAAGTTACTTTCAAATATGCAGGGATTCAGGTTAACTAAAGTTATAGAACTAAAGGTTGAAACATATTACATATGTAAATAACCAACAGGCAACAAAAACGTGGGGCGTGTGAAGAAAAGGGAAGGTAATATAGACACATTAATGAACTCATTTTAAAAAGTGGGAAATTAAAAACTGCTATAAAAATTCTGGGGGCAGGTTTTATTTCCACTTTATAGTCTATTCCTTAGCTCAGGCCTTCATTACTTCTCATACAGACCATTACAATACCCTGAAATTAATCTACCTGCCTCTACTATTCAATTCATAATTTGTTGAATGGGTATAATGGGCACTACGTGTTCAAATGAAGCCCTGGTGGCACAGTGCTTAGGAGCTATGGCTGCTAACCAAAAGGTTGGCAGTTCGAATCCACCAGTTGTTCCTTGGAAACCCTATGCATCAGCTCTAATCTGTCCTATAGGGTAGCTATGAGTCAGAATCCACTTGGCGGCAACAGGAAAAAATGTGTTCAAGTTCTTACAGCTTACCAGTGGTGGAGCTAGGACTTTTACAATAAGCCAAATGCGCTTTCCAATTCAATAAGCTATAAGAATAAAGCTCTGAGTAAGGTTTTGGGAAGTAAAGTGCCAATTTAGGCAGCAGTTTTATATAATCTTCACCTATTTCATTTTTTTTAGATCTGAGAACCTGGGGTTGTATTTCTATATAATCAGTGCTTATTACAATTCTGAATTTAGTTGAACAAAGTAATCATTTGAGAAATAGCAAAGACACAAATTGTAAAAAAATGCAATGTTGTGCTGAGAAAAGAAGGTTAAAACTTCTGAAATTTCTTCTGAAATTGTAAGATTAAATGAACTACTCAAATTTGTGCTTTAAATGGTACCCATAATGATGTATTTACTATAAAACCCACTGCCATCAAGTCAATTCCAACCCATAGAGACCCTATAGGACAGAACAGAGCTGCCCCACAGGGCTTCCAAGGAGCACCTGGTGGATTCAAACTGCTGACCTTTTGGTTAGCAGCCACAGCTCTTAGCCACTATGCCACCAGGGCTTCCATAAAAAAATCATACAGACATCCTTATAATACCTATCACTGATATACACTAGAACTATTAGAGAATGGAGACTTGTTGGCACAGTGGTTATGAGCTCAGCTGCTAACCAAAAAGGTTGACAGTCTGAATCCACCAGGTGCTCCTTGGAAACCCTACGGGCGGTTCTACTGTGTCCTATAGGGTCACTATGAGTCAGAATCAATGGCGATGGGATTTTTTATTAGAAAAAACATGTATGAGTTAGAATTTAATTCTTTCAAAGGTGGACTATTTATAGCTTTCATACATGTATTATGTAAGCCAAGAATCTGTAAAATCTTATTTCTTATACAAAAATAGTTTATAATATACCAAGATGAAACCAAAATAGATTCAAAGTAGCTTCTGCATGCTAGAAACAATCATGCTACATATATGAATTGACTATACACTTATGTCCATAATAAGTTTTTAGACTTACTAGCCTATAGCTTCAAAATTACCTCATTTTCATTTTGACAAATTTATATTGCTCCATGGAGCAGTGGTGGTTCAGTGGTAGACCCAGGTTCAACTGCCAGCCAATGCACCTCATGTACAGCCACGACCTAGTCTGTCAGTGGAGGCTTGTGTGTTGCTATGCAGCAGAGCTTCCAGACTAAGATAGAGTAGGAGGAAAGGCCTGGTGATCTACATCTGAAAATGAGCCAAAGAAAACCCTATCGCAATGGTCCAATCTGCAGCCAGTCATAAGAATGGTGTAGGAATTGGCAATGTTTTCATTCTGTGGTGTGTGGGGTCGCCATGAGTCAGGGGCCAATTTAATGGCAGGTAAACAACAATACTGCTCCATAGCGAAGAGACTGCAAAACAAGTGTTAAAAAGAAGTATCTAAATTCAGAACCAGTTTGACTACTGCCTGAATAATTCCTGAAATTACCTTCATGGTATATGTATCTTGTGCTTTGAGACAATAACCCTTTACACTTGCCTCAGTTTCTAAAAGCATAAGAGTTGATATAGAAAAATCCTACCTCTGATGAGTCCATTTTTGGAGATAATGTGCAGGTCAATACATAGTCACCTATGTTTTGTGGATTTTGTTTCAGGAAGTTGTACATTGACTGAGCAGATTCAGGACTATCTAATTGAAGAATTGCCTTTGAAGAAGGAAAAAAAAGTATCAACATTTTTTCCTTTCAATCTCAAATACGTGATCACAAAGGTAAGGTTAATCCTAATTTCAAAGTCAACAAGAGAAAATTCTTAGAATGCTGCAAGGCACAACTGAAGAGGGTGGGAGGTAATTTAAAAAGAGAAGATTAAAGATGTCTAAAGCAAAGATTCTGTAGTCCTCTGTGCCATCTGTGACATCCTTCTTCCATTCTATAACACACTATTTCTAAAGTAACCAAACACACTCTACGTATACAAGGGATGTCAAAGAAATGAGTAGCTAGTTGTTTGTCAATTAGGTATTTTTTATGGAGCAAATATTGTCAAGGAGTCCCTGGGTGGTACAAACAGTTAATATACTCAGCTACTAACTGAAACGTTAGAGGTTCATGCCCACCCAGAGGAATCTTGGAAGAAAGGCCTGGCAATCTATGTCTGAAAAATCAGGCACTGAAAATCCTATGGAGCACAGTTCCACTCTGACACACTGGAGTCTCCATGAGTTGAAATACACTTAACGGCAGCTAGTAAATACTATCAACTTTAACATGAAACCCTGACTTTATAGGGTATAGTTCATCAAAATTTAATTACAATGGATATATACCTGAAATAAGTATTATATGCAGAGGGCATAGTAAATGTAAATAGATTAACAATTTTTGGTTCTTTTAAGGAAAGAAGGCAAATCTTAAAAGTAAGAAATGGTCATTTTATTTATTCTTCTTTCTATGTAACTAAACAAACTTAAAGCTGTGTGTTTTACAGCTGGAAGAGACTTAGAAAATACCTTACAACGTTCCATTTTATAAATAAGAACTCAAAGTGTAAACTGACTTAGCCAAGGTAACAGAGGTAACTAAGGGACCATAAAGGTTAAGGTCAAAACTTCCCATCTTTGTACTAAATTACCTTTCTCCTCCCTTGTGTGAGTCTTATTTTCCCTTAAAAACCAGGAGTTTTGAGGAGAAAGAGCATATCTCATCTTTCTTGTCATGGTCCAGGAGAAAATATCCTGATCCATCACAGTTCTGCTAAGAGGCTGAATATTATTTATAAATGCTTCAGTTCAGAAGCTGAATTAGAAGTTGCAGACCATAAGAACATACGATTCAGCTATATATTATCTACAGAACACAGAACACCTTGTTACCTTGTTTTTATTATTCATGAATATATGGTGATCCACTTTTCCAAACTGAAGTCCGATGCAAAGTACACACTGAAGTCCATCTTCTGGTAAGTTATTAAGATGTACAAATCGACTGTAACTTTTATCTGTATTTGCCTGTAGTTTTTTTAAGAGACAGCATAAAAAAACACAGCTATAGTATCAAACTGTAAAAACACAGATTAACATTAATTTAATATTTCAGAGGTCAGATGATGTCCTCTCCCAAGAGTAAGAAAATGACTGTGTAGGTTAAGATAGTGGGGCCTTAATTTTAGATCTGCATAATCAGTAAAACAATATACTAAAACAGGAGGCATCATCTTTTCTTCTATCAGCACAATATCTACCAAAAACATCCTCAAACAACGTATGTCTCTATTTCACCACTTAATATACTCTCTAGTATCTGAAAAAATAATTCTCATTAGGGACTAACCCTTGCTTTCTTATTTTGGCTAATAAGACGACCCATCTGATACTTGTATCACCTCAATATCTCAAAAGTTAGTACTAAGGTTTTCTTTACATTTCAAAAAAAGTGAATGAACAAAACAAGTACACAAAAAGAATTTAAATGCAAACTCACCTCTGGGTCATTTTCTTTAATCAAGGTTGTAAATATAGCTTCCTAAAAAAGCAAAATAAATAAAGGCTGAAGGTGTAAATTCTAATTCATATATTTAATTAGTCAAGATTTATAATAATCTATATAAATATGCATTTACCAGTATTTCATAAAATGAAGAGGAAGCAACAGTTCTGTTCCTTCTAAAATGTTTCCCTCTTCCTAAACAAGTTATCAAAGTCCCACCACCCTCCACATACACCTTCTTTCTTCGTACTCCCCTACATGCACGAAGATTAATGAGGGAGTACCACTTAGGGGAGGACATTCAAATTTATAAGAAGGGAATCACAGATTTAATTTAGAAGATAGTAAGAGAACTGAAATTATAAAGCAAAAAATTAGTTAAGCTAAGTAGGGGATGAGGAAGAGCAAAGATGCAGGCTAATAAAAAACAGCACAGTATACAAATACACAGTGATTTGGAGCTACTGAATTATAAAGTTAAGAGGTCCATAGTGGCAGGAGACAAGGATGTCAAAGCTAGAGAAGGCTAAGTAATGGAAGGTTGATATGTGCCAGAAGGAATCTGGAGACTGAGACTATGGTTCTTAAACATAGTTTTTTCCTTCGGCACTACCAAGGATCCTAAATCTAGAATAAACCCGCTGCCGTCGAGTTGATTCCGACTCATAATGACCCTATAGGACACAGCAGAACCGAGCCGTAATGTTTCCAAGGAGCAGCTGGTGGATTTGAACTGCCAGTCTTTTGGTTAGCAGCCTAATGCCTAACCACAGCGCCACCAGGGACAGGCTTGTATAATATAATCCTAGCAATTATGTCATATTAGATTAATATCAAGGAAAGACTTTTTCAAATTACATAGAGTCCCACCTTGCCCCAGAGATTCTAATAACTACCTAGTGCCTCTTGGCATTTAAAAGTAAATGTTTGCAGGCACAGGGAGACACTGCAGGGTTTCTAAATCAGATGATTCTGAATTTGAATAGATTTGAATTTTATGCAAGTCTCATGGCTTTGTAAAGAAAATATCTGAGGGAGACAAAACTGAAGGTAGAAAGAAAAGAAGGTTACTTTGGTGGCCCGCTAGTTTTTAAGAGAAAGTAATAAGAGAATAAACCCCAGAAATACTTAGGAATTAAAACAGATGAGACTTGGTGACTGATTAAATGTGAGAAATGAGAGAAAAAGTTAAAGATAATTTCCAGGTTTCCAGTTTGGATGACAGAAAATAGCAGTGAGATATAGAGTACATAAATGAGAAGCCTGTTCTCGGACAATAGTTTTCAACTTTGTTTCCACCCCAACAGGGATGATTAATAGGATTCCTTTACTATGGAAGTAACTCTCAAAACAGCAGGATGGTAGAGTGTGGAGGGGCAGGGACAAGCCTTCTCAGTATCCGAAAGAAAACAGGTGAGATTTACGAAAGTCTACTAGATGATTCCAAAATTGTCACTTAGGGGTCAAGGGACAGTTGCAGTAGGGATAAAAAGGATGAGAAAAGAAAAATTACATGTAACACTGACACAGTGCTAAACCTAAGCACTTTATGTGGCTCGCTTTTTCCAAACTTAACAAATATCCTATGAGACAGGTCTTCCCTAGTTTATGGATGAAGACACAAAAACTTAAGAGAACAGAACAACCTTGCCCAAGGTCACAAGCCTGTCAAGTAAATCTGAATCCAGGCTGTCTACCTTCTCTAGAGCTACTGCTCTTAATCACACTTTATACTAAATACAGATCAAAAAAAGCTTCAACAGGATTTGGTAATGGAATGCTTAAGAAATTAGATTTTATGAAATAATGGTCTGAAAGATTAGAAAAACAGTTAAGAAATTTCTAATAGGGTATTTTATTGTATTCACGACCCAAAGAAGAAAACTAGAAAAGATAACAGACCTCAATAAATCTGTTAAAAAACTTAATGACATGCTAGTGAAAATGACGGTAGATTAACATTTACCTCATCTTTTATGTTGACGTTTTCAGGAGCCATACTTATTGAGAGTTGATTTCCATCCATCGATATTGGGAAGCAGGTATAAAATTTCACCATAGAATCTCCAGACTTTCTACTTATTTCTATATATGCCTTTTAAAATAGAAATTATAAGAGTGAAAAAATAAATCTTATTCAAGTTACTTTTTCTTGAAAACATTTAATACTTAGAGTCCAGTAAATGAAAAAACTTAATAGTTTTAATTAGAGTCGTGCAACCAACCAAATAATCTTATGAACCTGCAGATATCACTTGTACTCAGTCTCCCCTCCTATTGTTTTTTCAAGTACGTTAGCTCCAATTACCAGCAAATAGATACCCTACTTTACTCTCAAAGATTTCTAATAATTGCCAACTGCTTTCTATCGTAAGAACACCACTTCCCACCGCTCTAATGGTGTCATTTCCATTATTTAAACTCTTTCCTCAAATCTTTCCTCCTTTAAAATACCTTCCACAAGTTTATTAGTAAAAATAAATTTTATTGTGTAGTTTTGAAATTACAAAAGTAATACATATTTATTACAGAAAATTTAGAACATACAGATGTATCTAGGTTGTTCTAAGTATTGATGACATCAATTTGAGTATCAAAATGGTTAGAAATACTAGTTAAATAGGACTCTGCAAAGTTTTATAAGGTAAATTTAAAAGCTCTGCATTAAACATATTAAAGATATTAAATGAAAATCTGGTGGGAAAAAAAAAAAAAAACTAGTTAGTAACCATTTCTCCCCATCATCAAAATTATGTCTGATTAAAACAATACTAAAATAAGGGATATGTGTTTTACATTTTGAAAATCCTTTAGCTTGAAATAGTTTAATTACTTTGAGGTACAGCTTTTAAAAGCCCCTTTTTTCTAGTTTTGTGAATTTAGCGTTTTTCAAAACCTGCTTGTAGACAATATGAATAGCTGTTATCAACTCTTACCTTTTTATGAGATGATAAAATCAAAATATCATTCAAACCACCAAATGGTTTTGCTAGGTTGTAAACATCTTCTACAGAATATCCTTTAATAGGCAAATTAGACACAAGGATCACACACATTTCCTCTGTTTCCTTCAAAACAAGTTAAAAAATTAAATTCACATTAAAATTTTTTTAAGTGCTTTTATACTAATTTAAACTTATACTGCAGATCATGTTACATCAGTACTTAAACTGCATCTAATACTGGGTAAAGCCTGATCAATTCAGGAGGCTGGACTGAACCTCAAATTAAAAAGAATAACAAAAACAAAATGCTAATTTACTCTTTCCAAGTACACAGAATAATTGCAGGTCTTTAGGTCAACCAGTGCTTAAAAACACAAGTTCTCTTGTCTCTGAACGCAACTCCTTCCCTTCACATAGTATTGTCAGTCCTGTGCCTTGTGATGCTAACATCTTCCCAAACGTTAAATCATGTATATCCTTTCAACCTTCCTGAATAAGATAATCACTTTTGGGCTATATAAATGAGGTCATCTAGCCTCCTTACGATCCTTACCCCATAATCCAATCCCCACTGCCCTTCATTCTGTCGAATTTATCCTTTTCAAGGCAATTCTCTCATCAATGCCAATTTTTACTTTGGTGGATGCTGCGAAAATCCCCAAAGGTGTACTGGAGTAAATTTGGCAATTTGTGACTCTTTGAAAAAAGGATGGGAGGTTATTATTTTCATAAACCATTTGAGAGTAACTTCACTAGCATGACAGTTGTGTTCACGAGTATGTCCTTCTAAAATGCTTTAAATGAATCTAAAATACTCTACTGGTACTTTAAAATAGCCTTCTTAAAATACAGTAATATAAGTAAGACATACTACTTATAAATACTTGATCAATGGATCTACTAGGAAAAGAAAGCTTATGCTTAGCACCTGAATGATCTCAAAATCTCAATCAGTAAAATCTGATACAATGAGATTTTAATATACTCATGATAATGACAAATATAACCATAAGAAAATAATAAACTTCATGCTACTCAAATATAACTGCAAACCCCTTTCTACTCCAAAAAAGTAAAGAACTTCTAAATATTAAAATATCTCCCATTTACCTCTAAAAAGAGAAAAGACTACACAAAATTTTGTTAGTTCTAATGTGACAACCTGTTGTCTACTCAAAAAGCCATTTTCTTACTGTGTTATTCTCAGTGAAAAGTAGTCCTCAAAAATATATACATTTATTGATAATCTATTCTTAAATTTTTGTGACTTACTCTGCCATTCAAGGTTTTTGAGCTGAAACCATATTAATGAAGTTACAAACTACTAAATTTTTCAACATGCCAAACCCTATACACTTTTTTACACAAATATATCTGGATTTATAGAATCAAAAGTATCATGTTGTGTCAAAATTTCTTAAGCTTTAAAAGAAATAGAAAAACTGACCTTGCTAACTGGTTCTTGGTTTTCTGTGGCCTCCAAAGCAGCGTCTTAAGACACAAAATAAGATAACATTTCATGTAGATATACTCCACTTAGGTGTGACTCTAGTATTGCAATATACATGTGTACAGATATATGCTATGTATACATCTGAATAATACAAAATTAAGTACTTAATTTCTTAAAATTTTAATTTGCTTTTTATTTATAAACATATAAGAACAAAATAAAATTATCTACTGACCTACCTGAAATAGTTTCTTTAATACTGTTTTCAGTGGCTTTGGCTTCCATACTGGTCTTTATTTCAGAATTTTCTGCATGAAAGAGTTTGCTTTAGTAGTCTAGACAAGCACGCTAATATAATTAAACTGATGAATCTGAACATGAGCTTAAGTTGATTTAGTTTATTTTGTTACATCAAGTCTCCCTAGGCTGACCTAACTTAAGCCAATGCCAATACAAGTTTTCTCTTTGAAAAACAAAACAATCTCTTTGAGGATTTTCAAACAATAATCTCAAAATGTACCTCAAATGTATACCAAAAAGGATCTAAAGGAAAGAAAGCAGTGAATGACAGTATTTCAAGCTTACCTGGTACAGTCACAGGTTTACTGGAGTCTTTACTTTTGACACTGCCAACCTTTTTGACTTCTAGAGACTTCTTTCCACTAGATTTTGCTTTTAGAAGTAGAAGTGCACCATTATTCTCAGGGTCTGTTCAATCATTTAGCATGTTTCATACTAATGTATTAATAAATATATAATTCAACTTCATTATAAAAGCAGTTCTTTTCCATATATTCATTATTTCTATTAACTTTCAATATCTGTTTACCAAAAAGATTAAAAGCACATTTAAACTGTTACAATTTTTAGAGGGCCATAAATGAGTCACAAGTTTAACCCTCATATGGGAGAAACGTACCACAATCACACACATATCATATTTTGTAATTTCTGAAAAGGTTCTTTAAAATTATAGTTATTTGGAAAAAGGTATTATTAATAATGAAATCATGCTAGTTTCAACATGCCACATTTATTTTAAATAGTGTACCATTTCTTTATGGAGGAAACACATTCTCATAACGTGCAAGAATCCTTTTTTAAAAAGGTAACAAACATCAGGAATTATATAAACTGGGGGAGAGATATGAATTAACACGCTTAAAAAACTAAGGAAAACAAAGATTAAGCAATTTTTAGGAGCAAAATGGCAGAGCAGCCTGGAATTATATAGCTGTCGAAAATGTTTTCTGCCAAAAATGTACCTACAATGGCAAATATTGTCCAAGATCAAAGTACCCCTCCCCAAAAAAGTCTCATACATATCAAATTTTAAATATCAAAGTAGCTACTAAACTCCTACACATTTTATAGATGTTACAAATTATTAAGCTATAAATATCTGAGTTTAAAACTTACTTTTGGTATTATATTCTTCAAGGCAAAATTAAGAATAAACTTAATAAAAATCTCTCCTTCCCAATAATCTTACCTGTTTTGACTGAAGCTTTATTACCTTTAGCAGCTACTGTTACCACAGATTTTACAGAACTTGACGATTTCCCTAAATCACAAAAGCTGTGGTCAAAACTGGTTTATTTAACTAGTATTAACAATCCCCAAAGAATCTCGTAAAGAAGGAATACAAAAGCTACAGACCATATCTTATTCAAAAACGTAAAATGCCATCCTCTTTGCAAGTATAGGCCATTTTCTAAATCTAGCAATGATTATTTCTTTAGGAAGAAAAATATCACTTCAGTAAGAATTCATCTCCCTGCAGCGATTCTTAAAATAACATTCAGGCCAAGTTAAATAAATCTATCAATGTGTGGATCAACTGGAAGCAAAATTACTAACTCCAAGGACAAGCTTCCTTGGTCCCCAGTTGATTTGAAAAGCATTCAGGAATACCTACATTATGGTTGGGCAACATAAAGATTGCTCTGACTCATTCCCAGTGGGTCCTATCTGTACAAACCAAAAAAAACCCGTTGACGTCGAGCTGATTCCAACTCACAACGACCATAAAGGTAGGTACAGTACTATTTAAACTGCTCTGACCCTTACTTGTTCATAAGCATCTATTACTGTTAGTTATTTTCTAAGACGATGCTATCTATAAAGACTGTGATCACCAGAATGTGGCTGAAAAGATCACCAGGGGGTCAAAATCCTTTCCGCACAGAGAGCAACAGGAGAGATTTAGCTCTGAAAATTAGGATTCATAAGTTTGCAAAGTAACATGAGGAAAGAGCCCAGGATCAGAAGTCAGCAGACCTAAGCTGAATTCTAAGTTTAACTGTAAAACCCTTGAGAGAGTTTTAACTGATTTCTATGTAGGTTTCTCAGTTTATAAACAAGGGTGGTGACTGCCATAATTAGTACATAACAGGAACTCTCTAAGAATATAATGCTTTCGAAAAGTTAAATTATCATACAAATAAAAAGAACTGATATTCACAAAAATCAATCAAATGGTTTAAAAATCCACCCCTTGTATTCAAAGACAGACAAAAAAAAAAATCTTTGCTCAAAAACAGTAATAACAATCCTTACAGACTGTCACTTAGCTTAGTCATTCTTAGTCAATCACAAGTTGGCTTTTCTTTGTTGTTTTAAGTTGTTTACAAGTTTTCAACACTGCAGTAAGCTGAGCCTTTGTGAGCCCTTAAGATACTTCTTTCACTATCCCTATTTTATTATCACAAGTCAGTTCATTTTATTACTTCTGTCTGGGTATCAGAGTTGAAGGAAAGAATAGCTGGAATTAACTTCCAACAGTTAGGAAGTGGCTGGTGGTTGTGGCACCCACTGCCCCTAACCTTCATCTGTGACTTCCACAGATTTTCTGTCAAAGTAGTATCAATGTGTTTGCTAAGTACATACAGCTTCAAGACAAGTTTTCTAGCCGTCCCCCACACTACTATCTGAAAATTCTGGAGGCTCCACTTACAATAATGGTATTTGCCAGTTCAAGGCTACATCCTTTCTAATGTTATAGGGCAGATAATTTAATCCACTTAAAGAGCTGACCCTGAATTAACCAGTATTTAGTAGAAATGGGAGAGAAATCGGAAAGGAGGATAGATAATGCTAAGGGAAACAATAAATTTATTAGTTTCTTGAAAACCCATTATAGTTTTAAAAACTGCAAAAAGGATCTATAATTTGCTGCATATTGTTACCTGGCCTATTATGTAAAAGAGAGTAAACAGAGAGTGACTTCCATAGAAGAGAAAGTGTGAAATATCTGATATTCCTCCTAAGAAATAGTTTCGCCAGTTAAATTCTTATTTTCATAATTACTACAAGGAAAGAGCATTATCTACTAATTCTCATTTTTGCAATTTCTGGATACTACAAATTTCAAAGATTAATATAAACTCAGCATATACCATGTTCACATGAAATCTAATACTATTACTACATGCTTCTTAAGTAATTAACTAATAAGCAACATCATGACAATCAGAAAATACTGAAGGTGTCAAATTTTACTTGGATCCACAATCAATGCCCACGGAAGCAGCAGTCAAGAAATCAAATGATACACCTCATGGGGCAAATCTACCGCAAAAGACCTCTCAAAAGTGTTAAAAAGCAAAGATGTCACTTTGAAGATTAAGGAGCACCCGACCCAAGCCATGGTATTTTCAATTGTCTTATATGCACGCGAAAGCTGGACAATGAATAAGGGAAAACCAAAGAATTGATGCATTTGAATTACGGTGCTGGCGAAGAGTATTGAATATACCATGGACTGCCAGAAGAACAAACAAATCTGTCTCAGGAGAAGTATAGCCAAATGCTCCGTAGAAGCGAGAACGGTGAGACTTTGTCTCATGTACTTTGGACATGTTATCAGGAGGCACCAGTCCCTGGAGAAGGACATCATGCTTGGTAAAGCACAGGGTCAACGAAAAGACCCTCAACAAGATGGACTGACACAGTAGCTGCAACATAGCAACGATTATGAGGATGGCACAGGTCTGTATACAGTGCTGCATTCTGTTGCGCACAGAGAGGGCTGCTATGAGTCAGAACCAACTCAAGGCACCTAACAACAATACGCCTAGAATTCTAATCAAAAACATACCTGAAGATTTATTCACTTTGGCTGATGTCTTGGTTTGTCCACTTTTGGCTAGAATAACAGGAGAAAATATCAATGTGCATTACAAATAACATCATTTAGTTTTAAGAAAGAGCTAACCTGGCAATGATTTTGAAAGCCTTCTTTCGGGAGTTCATGGCCATTTGCTCTTAAAAAGAACACTGCAAGAAACATCCCCACACGCATCTTTTTATGCCCATGGAACTGTTAACTGTAGGATACATCTTGACATGGACTTGCTGAGTCAAAAGGCATGGGAACTTAAATTTTAACTATTAACATCATATTGTCCCCCAGAAAGGCTGTGCCAATTAATATTCCCATCAATAGTATATGAGTGTGGCCTTCCCGTTTCCACACATAGTATTAACATAAATTATTAATCTTCATAATCTGTAATGGAAGTTACTAAAATTTAATTTTTGTCTAAGAGTAAAGCTATGTCTATTTTCCTGTTTATGAGTCACCCGTAACTTTTTCTGTGATCCACCTATTCATATTTGCCAATTTACCTTTTGAGTTGTTGAGATTTTTCTTATTGATTTATTAGAGCTATTTATATATTAACAAATTTAGCCTATGGCACACAGATAATTAAAAAAAAAGTTATGGAAAAATACTTGTTTCCCCTAATTATTATTCATTTTGTTGTTGAGAATACACACAGCAAAACATACATCAATTCAGCAGTTTCTTCATGCACAATTAGGTGACACTGATCACATTCTTTGAGTTGTGCAATCTCATCCTCTTTTTCTGAGCTGTTTCTCCCTCATTAACATAATCTCACTGCACCCTAAGGTTCCCATCTTTTGAACCACTGTTGTCACTTAGATCCCATATACACAGTTCTTCAAAGGGCATAATGCTCAAGGCAGACCTCTGTGACTAGTTAAGCTAAACTACTGTTTGGTTTTAAGACTTCAAGGGTATTTTTGGTTTAAGGTTTAAATATTAACTTATGTTTTATGCAAATAATATGCGCCTTCTATGTTTGTTTGCCAACTGCTCCCTCCAGCAAGGTATTTTCAGAAACACTGCTATGCCAATTTTCTTACATGCTGCTGTAAAAAAGAAATAAGCATAGGACACTTAACGAAAATACCTCATAGAGGGAGTGAGTGGTTGGCAAATAAACGTAGAAGGCACATATTATTTGCATTAAAATACGGTATCTCAGGGCAATAGTTTCAGGGGTTCATCCACCCTCCATGGCTCCAGAAAATCTGGAGTCCATGAGCATCTGAAATTCTGCTCTGCATTTTCCCCCTTTTGATCAGGATTCTTCTATGGAATCTTTGATCAAAATGTTCAGTAATGGTAGCCAGGCTTCATCCAGTTTTTCTGGTCTCATGGCAAAGGAAGCAGTTGTTCATGGAGGCAATTTGCCACACATGCCATATCCTCCTCCTATTCCTGACTCTCCTTCTTCTTCTTTTGCTCCCAGTAAATAGCGACCAACTGTGCCTTGGATGGCCACTTGCAAGCTTTTAAGACCCCAGGCACTACACAATGAACTAGGAGGCAGAACAGAAGCACTAAACATGATACTAGGCCAACTAGGATGTTCCATGAAACTGTGACCCTAAACCTCCAAACCAAGGAACCAAATCCCACGAGGTGTTTGGTTGTACATAAGCAGCCTCAGCAGCTTTTTTTTTTTTTTTTTGGTCACTGCTGTAAAATATATCCACAACAAAAACTTTTGCTAATTCAACATTTTACAGGTGTACAACGTATTGATGGCAATTACAATAATCGGCTATGCAACCTTACCCTTAAATCAATGCAATTTTTCCATCACTGTTAACCCTTTCTCCCCCTCCCTCCCACCCCGGGTAACCACCAATAAACTTTGATCTCTGTATGTCTGCCTTTTCTTTTCTTTTTGTAAGTGAGGTCATACAGTATTTGCCCTTTTGTGATAGACCTATTTCACTCAGCATAATGTCTTCCAGCTATATCCACATTGTAGCATGTGTCAAGATTTCATTTCATTTCTCTTGCTGTGTCACTTAACGTCCACGATACACTCTGTGATGTATGGGATTTGGATACTGTGTGAACATCGTATTATGTACAGGCAGTCCCCAGGTTAGGACAATTCCCATAAAGCCTATTATATTAAAACCTCATGGGAACCCGCTTCTGGTCATCATCGCCAGTGGGTACCCTTGGTTTAATGATTTCTACCTGATTGATCCAGAAAGTATTTAAGAGGGAGGGGGACTCCAGCATCTCCCACTGCCAGGATTGCAAGAGCTCTCAAGCACGCATATTAAGGCACAGACGCCATCTCCCGGGGAGGGACTTTGCCGGTGTGGACTGTAGGACAGAATCTCCAGGGCCCCTCCTGGGGCTGGTAGGATGTTACGGAGCAACAGCTGCCTTCCCAAGCCAGATGAAGCAGCTGTGTCTGCACATATTGTGACCTGGGGTTCAGGGGTTTACTTCTCATAGACTAAGGTTGGGCGGGGGCTTTGCCATAGGCCTGGCAGCCCAGCAGGTCTGAAACATCAACACCCTGGTGGGTTGGACAGGCTTAACCAGAGTGAATCAATCAGTGACTGGGGCTGGACCAGTTGGCCAGGATGGCCTCCGCTTGCACTGTGTCTACTCACACAGCTTGGGGGTCAGCACAGGCCTTGGCGAGGGCCGTAGACCCTCTGGAAATTGGGCCCCTCCGGAGTGAGTCGACAGGCAGAGAGGGCAGCCAGGCTGAGAAGAGAAGCTGGGGGTACAATGTTGTTCGAGAAATGTTAAGCCCAGAGTTGTGGCCTCGAGATTCTAAGGCCAAGATGAGCTTCTCAGCCCCATCCTGGCACAGAGAGGTACAGGCCACCAGGAAACACCTGCCTGTGTCACCTCTGTTCCAGCCCCAACCCCATCCTATTCTGCCCTCCCTGTCTGTCTCACTCTCTCTCCCTCTCTCCCTCTCTCCCCCTCTCCCCCTCTCCCTCTCTCTC